ATCTTGTGAGATATTATTTGGGAAATGAGAGGGAAAATTTTGGGGTACAACAGTATGGCACGACTTTGTCTGATTCGTAAGGAACAGGACACGACAAACAAATCACCACTGGAGTAACAACTGACTTGCCATGGTGTTTAATATCTATAGGGATGGGAACACCAAAACAAGGCACAATAACATTCACCCCTTCTTCATAATACTTTGATATCACATAATCATTGTTTTGGAGAACATGTCTTCATATGTGGAAAAGAATTCATCTGCAGAAGCATATGCATCATCTGACACAGTCTCAGCCAAGCAATCTTCAATCACATTAATCCCACGGTAATCATCTTTATTGCCCGAAAATTTGATAGTACCATTATCCAATAACAACTGAATACCCCTTCTCACATTGGAACAACCACGAAAGTCTCTGCAGCAGATCCGACAAGACTCATAACGGTGTTCTTCTTGCCCATCCATGTGACAGAAGGTAGCGGTCAACTGCACCAAATCATCGTTCATATGGTTCACGTCAAAAATCTAGATTTCTCCAGGACATCCAAAGACCATATTTACATCCTCTTCGTACTCTGCCATTGTCCTTGTTATATGAATGAGGCCCTCGTCCATCATTTCCTGAAGATCAACTTTTATCTTATCACATCCCTGGATATCTGCACTATAAATACTACAACCAACATGGTCGTGCATATAGTAACTGAACTCACAAAGGTTAGCATGCATCTTTACCAAATCTCCTCTCACCAGGTTGATATCAAAAATCTGGAATTCCCCTGAACAACTAACAACCATGTTTACAGCGTTTGCTCCTCCATGCTTTGACAAAGGATTATATTTCACGTTAGGGCCAACATCTTTAAAGGATAGGATGCCAGATCTCACCATCTTTTGTACTTCAGATTTCAAAGGATAATAGTTCTCAATACTGTGCCCTGGTGCTCCCTGATGAAAAGCACATGTCTGGTCTGCCTTATGATACTAGGGTAAAGGTGAAGGTATAGCAGGGGGAGGCCTGGTCTGAACCAACTTCTTCTGAATCAAAGCCGAGAACAACTCTGCGTAGCTCATCGGAATGGAGTCAAAAGCTTCTCTCTTCTGACTTTTCCATTGATTTCCTTGAGGAGATGGTCTTTGATAGGAAACAGTGGTTGGAGATACATTGACAACTGGAATCACAGAAGCAACCTGTTACTGGTATCGATGATGTCTTCTAGGTGTCCTAATCTTCCTCTCCCTAATAACAAAATTCGTTTCAATTTGTTTCTTTCGAGAGAACCCGTATGAAGACTTCTTCGTCCCTTTATCTTTTGTCAAGCACCCTTCTCTAACAGCCTCTTCCAAACGAACACCCATACTTACCATTTCGGTGAAATCATTCGGCGCATTGGAGACCATCCTTTCATAATAAAATGATCCAAGGGTTTTCAAGAAGACCTTGGTCATTTCTCGTTCTCCCATAGGTGGCACCACCTGGGCAGCTATCTCGCTTCATCTCTGCACATACTCTTTGAATGACTCCTTGTCTCTCTGAGCCATTGCCCTTAACTGGTCACGGTCAGGCGCCATGAACATATTATACTTATACTGTTTGATGAACGCTTCTCCCATATAATTGAAGGTACGAATACTGCTACTGTCCAGATTTATATACCATTTCAGAGCGGCACCAGTCAAACTATCTTGGAAGAAATGAATGAGAAAATGCTGATCATCAGTATGGGTAGACATTTTCCTGATATACATCACGAGGTGGTCACGAGGACAAGAGTTGCCCTTGTACCTCTCAAATTCCGGAATTTAAACTTCATTGGCACCTTTATGTTGGGAACTAGGCAGAGTTCACTGATGTTTTGTCCAAACAATTCTTTTCCTCGAAGGACCTTCATTTCCTTCTGCATCTCATTGAACTGGTATTGAAAATCATCCAACCGGTCATAGAACCCACACTTTTACTATATGGAGGAACAGGGCGATAAACTTCATCATTAACAAACGACATAGCATTCACCGAAGGAGGTGCATGATAATGGATCTCATTTCTAGCAGCAGAAGTAACATGCACCACAGGAGGTGCAGGAGTAGCAGCAACTTGAACAACTAGAGCGACTTGAGCATCAAGATTGCAGCCTTCTGGCATCCCCCACGGGTAACCCGGAGGCATACGATTCTGAGCAACAATAACTGGAATAACAGAAATGGGAACTGATGGTCCCTCAGAACAAAGAGATTGTCAAACTTTAAACACAACAAAGAGATACATATTTATAATAACAAAAATCCAAGCCCAAAAAACACAACTCATTAATTATTAGAATAAAATATTATAAATATCTTATAACATATTTTATATTAATTTAGACTATTTCTAAATTAATATATATCCAATATTATAACATTAAATAACGAATCCGCAAACCGAAGTGGTCAAATCTGAAATCTGTGAACCGCCCAATCCGAACATTCTTGTTATTTTTCAGCTTCTTGATTTTTTGGCAATCTCGAAACATGTTTTCTTTCTCTTTATCAACAAAGGTTTTTAAGGCATATTCCAACACTTCCCAACTAACTATTTCTCTCACTAGGACAAAACTGGCTCGAATTTTCTATATTTGACCGTCCATAATGTGTAATTTGGAGTCATTGGCATGAAAATTAAATTTTTTTCAATAATCAGACATCACGAGGTCTGCCATCAACTTTTCAGACCATAATTCACATGAATTCCCATAAAAAAGGTTCTTTCCCAAGTGACTATTTCTCTCACTATGATAAGATTGACTCGAATTTCCACATTCGACCGTCCATAATGTATAACTTAAACTCATTTGCGTGAAAAATAAAAAATTTCAACAATCAGACACCCAGAGGTCTACCGTCAACTTTTCATACCACAATTCAAACGAATTCCAATAGAAAGTATCCTTCTCGACTGACTATTTTCTTCACTCGAATAAAATCAAATTATATTTTTTATAGTTGACCCTCCACAACATGAAATTTGGACTAAACTAGCGTGGAAATTCAAAATTTTCAACAATCAAACACCCGGAGATCCGCCATTAACTTCCCAACCCACAATTCACATGATGGAAAAGGTCCTTTCGAATATTTTTCAAACTGAACTTAATGAAATGAGATATTTATAAAGTCTAATATGTAGGAAAATTTGTCTATTTTCTTATGATATAAAATTTACTCTTAAAGGACTTGCGAAAAGTAAGTTATACATGAAATTAGACAACCAACACAGGTTGAAATTTAACTACGCTTCTGGTATAAAAACCAAATATATGCTATTGCTGTAGCACTCCTAAACCCAATTTATTCACTTAAAAAAATTATTGTGTTAACTTTCTAACACAACTGACGACACATCAAACAAACTTACAAAATTTAAATTACCCATAAAAAAAGGTGATGACTCCCATTTTATTCATTGGGATTATTCATGACAAAGATTGACTCAACATTTGATTAGAATGTGATTTTATGTTTGTTTGACAAACTTTTTCTAATTCAAAGAGTTATCCTTAAAATATTCAAACCATATGATCTAATTGTATTTATTGTTTTTATTTGCTCAGGAATTTTCAATTTACAATATCTCATAAAAACAAAGGAGATGTTTGTGTTAGTGGTCTCGTTTAGAGCTATTAAAATGGGTTAATCCACATAACTCAGTCCACTCAATTTGAAAAATCATAGGATTTGAGTCTTTAAATTAGAGTTCATATATTTAAGAGTTTTTTTATCTCAGTCTTAAAAAATTCACTAATCATTAGAGCTAGTTCATATAAGCGGTTGGTAGTCCATTAAGTCCACGTTATTGTAAATTTTAAAAAAATTATATTAATTTTTATATTATGTTATTCCAAAAATAACATATTAATTTTTCTCACTTCACTAAATTTTATCTCTATTTATACAATATTTCTCTTTTAAATATTATATATTAATATAATCAACACTATTTCCTCGTATTCTATTAGTTTCTCTTTTGCTAAATATTTTGAGTACTATTTTCTATAATTTAAATATGTATTGTATTTAAAAACACATTATAATATTTATAAAAAATGATAAAATACTTAAAAATATATATATATTTAAAATAATATAATTTTTTATTTTACTTATAATCAATATTTATGAATTTTTTATTTTAATTTTATTATTAAAAAAGTCTGTTTATAGTTGGATAGTCCGAAACTCATCTAAAATCAGACTCAAATAATAATTTTAAAGTCTATGTTTTTTTTACTAAACTCTAAAAAACTCAAGCCCATAAAGACCGATCCTAAATAGATGGATAATTCATTTTAACAAATCTAGTCTCGTTAATGTTAGTTTTATTTATGATGGTCTTGTTGATGGATGCCATATTATTTTATGAAATCATATATCCAATTGTATTGGCATGATTTCTTTAGAAAACACATGAATTATATCTTCTTTCGAATTCCATTAACTTTTCTTTTCTTTGTATGCACTACACTATTATTCATCAGGTTTTATACTATTGGATTTTTCTAATAAATTTTTTATTTTGAGAGTTGATTTTGGCCTAGTCCCTAATATTTGTTTAATTTAAAATTTTTAATATTATTTTACTTTGAGTTGTTGTTTTTGGTGATATAAGTAGAAGTGTCGGTCTAGATGTGATGTCACCTCTCCCTCTTCTACACCTAATATAGTTTTTATTTTTAAAAAATATGTACACCTTATAACAATGCACATCTGGGGAAAAAACTGTAATAGTAATAGAAAAATAAAAGCAAATGAGAAGAAAATAAAATAAAACATATATAATTTGTATTGGAAGAACCGCTCTTTTATTTATTTCATAAATAACCAATTACATTTTTCTCTTCAATTAATAACACTACACCAAACAATAACAAATAGCAATATCATTTATTATTACACCAAGTCACCAATTAATCAATGCAAAGATTTAAAAAATATAGTAGTGGCTTCTTCATTGGTAATTAAGCATAGCTGCACATTCCATAAACACAAGAACCTCTATTGTCACATTTGTTACCACATTTCCCACAATGCTTTTCGTTACTCCTAGGATTCACGCATTTACCTTCACAGCATATCTTGGGAAAACTACATTTCTTTCCGCACCTCCCACAATTAAACACGTCTATCGTAAAATTGACACATTTGTTCTTGCAGCAATCTGAGCCTGCGCTACCTTTGATATGACAAACTTTGGGGTTTTTGTCGCATGTTAATGAGACTCTATTTTGTTTTCGAGAATGGAAGAAGTGGGTTGTTCTTTGAAGATTAGAGTTCGGTTCTTCCATTTCGTAAGATGTTGCTAATGATGGTGTAATGGCCAGAGCCATGAGATAGGCCAAAAGAAAGATGGTTTTATTGAACTTCATTTTGTATGTGTTTGTATTAAGTTGAATATGAGTAAAGTTGTAGTTTGGTGGATATGTATTGAATGAGAAGAATACAAGATATTATCGATATTTATAGAAAAAGGGAGGTTCATAGATATATCATATAGTATATTGCAATTTCATGCATGAGAACATAATGTTAGTTAGTGGGATGGTCTAAATCAGTGTGGCTGAATTGATTATGTAAACAAAGTTAGGCTTGTTTGGCAAGAAATACTGTACATATTAGTAAGTTGAAAGTACTATATGATAAAAAAAATGTAGGGCTTTTATTTTTATGCATGGGTGTGAAATGAAATAGTATAAGCCAAGTCGTATGTAATACGAAGAAAGTAAGAAGTTGTTTCTGGAAAACAAAAAATCGTTACAGAACCACGACGCCATTGTTTGACAACATGTGTTTATACGCTTACACATATAAGACTTTGACTTTCTCCAATCAATTAAATACTACAAATCAATTTGGATAAAAGACCACGCGTTTAAGTACTTAAATCTCATAGCGGCGGATGCAAGTATAGGCCCCCCACAAAGCAAAACAAAAAGCTTGATAATGTCAATAGTTTTTAATATTTTTCATGAAATTAATTATTGGCATCCTAATTTTTTTTTTTTTTACAAAACAATGAAATCTAGGTCATCCATCTTAAATAACATATTGTATGACTCGAATACGTAATGGTCACTGCATCGTCGTTTGGACGCAGTGAAAGTAAATAAGAGTCTTTGCATTTTCATGAATGAGTGTGGATAAAAAAGCTAATTCGTGAGAGTAAGATTTATTTTGGATCATAGAATATAGACACTGAAAAAAATCTATAATAATATGTGACACAATGGTAAATGGTTAAGGGAAGATCATTTTCACGTGCTTACAAGAAACTAAGTAACCACGTGAAAAGATGTAAGAATTAGACAACTCAACATTTAAGGGTTGGTACACCTAAAAAAGTTAGATTGCAAAATGAGGTGGGAATTATTGTGGGCAATAAGTCAAAAACGAATATTGTGATGTGAAAATATTAGGAGATAGATCCATAGACTTGAATCTTTTAGTGGAGCAAGATACTTTTAATATTATTAGTGTTTACGCACCTTAGTTGAGTTAGCATAACACCTTAAGGTAAAATTTTGGGAGGATTTAGAAGACTTGTGTCGTGATATACTCCAAGGATAGAAGGTTTTTTTAGGAGGGAATCTAAATGAATATATGAGAAGCATAACAAGAGGTTTTGAGGGCATGTATGAGAAATGATCTCTAGAAAGTTAATGTGGAGAATAAATTCATCTTGGAGTTTTCGTGAGCTTTTGATATTACAATAGCTAATACATGTTTTAGGAAAATTGATAAGCATCTTATAACAATGTTTCTTATTAGGAAATCAGATGGGGAGATTTGCTTGAACTGTAAAGTTATTTTAGGCAAGAGCTTGACTATCCAATATAGAGTATTGAATATAGATGTAAGAACCAACAGGAGAGCAAAGAGGAGAAGTCACATGGGAACGCTACAAATCAAGTGAAGGCATTTGAAGGGTGAAAAACAAGGAAGTTTCCAACATAAGATCTTGGAATGAGGGTTTGAACAACCTCACAAATATGCAAATGATATGTGAAATAAGATGACCAAAAAATTAGAAAAACAACTAAAGAGGCGTTGGGAGAATCAAGAGACTTTGGACATACACTACTAAAAATAATACATTTTATGACAAAGCTTTCACCTCAGACACAAAAATCTAGCTCAAATAACGTAAAATGCACCATTTATATTTATTTTAAAAAATATTAAATCTTAAACCTCAGTTTTGCTTAAAACTGACATAAAATGATGCCTAGGGTTTGAGCTTCTGTTGTACCCCAAAATTTGCCCTCTCATATTTTCCCAAGATCTTTCTCTTACATGGTGATCACAAGCATTTGATTAAAGGAAAGATAAAATTTTTTTGAAGATAAACAAGGAGTCTTCAATTGGAATTTTGACAAAATCCTTCGATTGACATGTTAAAAGGATTTTCGATTTGGTATTTGGATAAACTTCGATTGAATGCTTAACCTCCTCCAAGTTTGCCTCAAGTTTCTAAGCTTCGATTGAAGCCTTGGTCTTCTGCTTGTTTGTTGTACACCAGCTTCGACTGGGCATGTTTTCCCTTTAAAACAACCTCCTTCGATCCAAAGGGGAAAGGCTTCTTGTCAGTGCTCCTTCGATTGCACCATTGTCTTTGCATGCTGGCTTAACTCACAAATGCAATGGCTACTTGCATGCAAGTTGGATCCTTGCTTCGATTGAGCATTTGTTTTCCTTGGAGAAAGCTTGTTTCCTGCTTCTACTAGGCAAATTATCCCTCTGGGCGTGCTTTCAGCGTAAAAAGCAAGAACCTCTCCAAACTGGCCTTTGATTCACAAAGCTCCCACTGGGCAAAAGACCCCTCAGCGTGTCACCGACGCACGTGTGCCTCTTCATCCTGCCTTCAGCACACAAGGCTAAGACTCCTTCAGGGTTGCCTTCGATCCATCAGGCAAAAATCTTCTTTTGATGCGCCAGGGAAGAAGGTTGCCTTCGACCACAAGGCACTGGCCACCATTGTGCCAGCTTCGCCTAGGCAATAGCCTCCTTTACACCTGCCTTGACTTGCGTCATGCTAGCATCAACAAGGCATAGGGTGCCTTTGTGCCAGTTTCGACTAGGCACTGACCCCCTTGTGAAACAATTGTAAATACTTCAACACACCAAAGGCCCATTCGAAGGGTACACCAAAAGGACCATCTAAAGACCCATTCGAAGGAAGTAATACTGGAGCCAGTCGAAGGATACACAAGAAGTACATTTGAAGAAGCATGCAGAAGGCCAATCGAAGGATACACAAGAGCTACATTTGAAGAAGCATGCAGAAGGCCAGTCGAAGGCTACACAAGGGGTCCAGTCGAAAGAGGCAACTTGAGGCCAGTCGAAGAGTAACACTAGAAGGCATTCAAAGGTAAAAATATCAATCTCTACATTTGCATGACATATTGGCATTTATAATTTTATTCGATGTATATTCAAGATTAAGGACCTGGGTTCGACACCCAGATTTACATTTGCTTTGTTGCTAACACTTTCTGCAAATGTAGCCTGAATAGACCCAATGAGTGCAGAATCGAAAGACCTGGGTTTGGCACTCAGGTCATGCTTTTCGTTTTTGACAACATGTTTGCAGATGTAATGCCCTCGTAAGTGATCCATCCGGCAATTTCAGCAGCGCCTTTTGGATCGAAAGCCACATCCTGTCACTGGATTAAAGGGTAATCGAAAGAGAGTTTTCCCTTCATAGAATCGAAAGACACCATCTCCTGCAATCAAAGGATGCTTCTTGTTCTATTTTTTATTTTTGTTTTCATTTCTTTATTGACCCTCTTTTATTTAAATTGACCTTAAATCAAAAATCACAAAAAAAAAATTAGGATAGTTGTTTTTCTAATTAAATTAAATTTGCAAATAAATTAATTAATTATTTTAACATCTTTCTTGAAATTAAAACTAAATAGACTTAGGTTATATTTTCTTAAAATAGAAACAAAACAAAAAGATTTATATCTCTTGGGACATTTTTAGACATTATTTTTCAATTTCACGCGCGTTTATTTAATTTCGTATTTTTATTATTAATGTACCTGCTCACTGGATGTAATAGATTAAAATTAGGATATTTATTGCTTTATCCCCCTCATTTTTAGACATGTAAATCCCCTCCCCCAAAGCATTGTAATATCGTAGCTTTAAGTTTCTGCACTTTAATATTCTGCAATATATATTGACTGCTAGTAATTAGGCGTGTATGATAGGACTAATAATCAAATGCTAGCAAACTTAACAAAAAGACAAAAATAACTGAATTGAATCTATTGCACATATACACCTCTAGGGTACCCCACTTTAGTTGCCTTTACAAATAAAACAGTCATGAGGCAGGAACGCTTTAGCAAAGACCCATAAATCAAAACATCATAGTCCTTCGATGACCCTATAGTTGCCATTTCAGTAAATGATCTAGTCCCTAAATAAAATTGCTAAAGCGTCTCCATAAGTTTCTTCGTGACTGTAACGTCCCTTTGAATGTCCCTCATACGTCCAACGATAGGGCTACCTACTCACTAATAGTAGGATAGCACTGTCTAAAGGATAGGAGGAAAAGAACTACCTTTTCGAGTATAAAAGTAGATAGCTGTTAGAAGTTTGCTCAAAAACATTTTGCACTTACACAAATACTACTTTTCAAAAACAATTTTCAAAACATTTACTTTGTTAACACTCTTGAGGACTGATACAAGAGTTAAACGCAAAGCAAATCTCCGCACTAAGGAATTTTCCAAACATTTTCAAAATACACAAAGCACAAAGGTATTTAAAAAATGACCAAACCTCTAAAATCCCTTAGGTAACTACGGATGGAAAGGGTGCTAACACCTTCCCTTTCCATAATCTACCCCCCTTACTCAGAAAATCTCGAAAAATGTCTTTTTATATTCTTTTCACCCTTTCCTTAATTTGGATAAAAGAAAAGTTGGTGGCGACTCTTTCTTACCACAACATTTGCAAACACAAACGCAAAACCAGTATTAAACAGTCGGTTCTACCACCGTATCACAGCTTGGATTCCCAACTCCTGCAATTTTATACTTTATTTAGAACTAAAAAGGCATCTTTATTTTATAAATCATTCAATCCCTCGATTTTCTAGAAAATCGAGATGAATACTCTAAGAAATATTTTATTTAATTTAATTGAACCCATTTTTTACCTCGGTTATGTTCCCTCGGCTTTGCAGAAATCAAGATGAAAACTCTAAATAATATTTTATTCCTTCACCAAAATGTTAAGACTCATTCACTTTTTGCATCTTAGCGAACGAAAGGAACACCATTCTTATCCACCTAATGAACTGAAACACCATTCTTCATCTTCTCCGAGGAGGAAGGAAGCTCGAACCTCAAACCAA